CTGAATCGGCCTCAACCATCATCAACAGCAACATGTTCTTCTGCAAAATTGTATGCTGCATGCTTCAACGAAGTGCTGCCCCTTTGGTGGAGTGAGAAACGTCAATGGAAGCCAACCAGTCCCCTTTGGACGTTTTGTTGCGGCACCACACCCCTTCTGTTTAACATAACGAATGGTGTGCCCGGCACTTGTTCATGGCACTCCATGTGTTTTCTTCCGGAGTTCCGCCTTTGGCACTTACCTCAAAATGCTTCCAATAGCATGGACCCCTCTGCCTCATCACCCTCACTTGATCCGTCAACTTGGAGCGCAACGATAGAACCCATCCAGAAATAGGCACAGCACGCCAAATTGTGGGACTTGTGCACAAACAAAATGCAACAATCCGATTAAAGACTTGTTCTGCTTGTTTGGAGGCCATCGCTTTGGAGGCCATCGCTCTTGTCCCTCATTGTATGCCTGTTTTGTGAGTGCCCAAGTACTGTCTTCAATCTTGTGCTACTGACCACGAATGCTTATCAGGGTGCTGCTGGTGGATTGGTTTGAAGAGCTTCTTTCAAACCACAAAAGTAGTGTCGACACTTGTCACTTCCCAACTGTCGTTAGTTCTTAATTGCTTCTTGCTGCAACAAATAGCCTTGCCTTCGCCAGGAAGCCATTTGCACATGGTGATGAGGCTGGATCAAACACGTGTCTACTTCGCAACCAGCAGCAACTGGTCTGCCACTCAAAACATTAACCATGTTTTTGGACGCTCCGACGCTTCCAGTTCTTGGCAGGTTCGGAAGTACTCTCGTTCCAAGCATCTTTCATGTCCTCTTTAAGTGGCCACCCGCCGCCTGCATTTCAAATTGAACATTTCCACCTGTTCAACGTTCCACATGTACCAGCCGTTGGAACTAAACGAAGGGACAGGAGTCATGGGCCAGCCTCGTGCTGAAGCTCAAGCAAGGCTGTTTGTCAAATCAATCTGGCTGCGTCTTGTCCTTTCATCCTGTTTAGGGCAGTCAAACACCCTCAAGCTTATTGTGGATGTGACTGACTTCTGCGCAGGATCTTTCCTTTGCGTAGCTATTTTTGGTCGTACTCTGAAGATCCATACTCAAGCCAGGATGTTTGAAGTTCTTCCCAGTCTCGCTTTAAACCTCTTGCTTACCTGTTGCTCGTTAGACTGGGCCCTGAAAAGTGTACATACTCGCCCATTTCTATGGCGGATTGAGTTGACGCGAACTTGTTGTTCACTCACATGGAACAGGCCGTTCATCTTGCTGATACGACCAAGGAAACCAACGGTGGTGTTCTAGACTGACTGGTTTCATTCGACTTGACAAGGCAAGACATTAGCCCACATCACAAAAGTCGATTCTACTAAAACTAGGTATCAGGTTCGTTGGTAGATCTAATCTAATCCTGAGACTGAGGCAGCCTCTTATGCACAGCTCTCTTCTTGGTCCATGACCTTTTTGCAGCTGCTCATGTGGCGGCAGGATTTCTTTGTCAGTTTCTTTTAGGATGAAGGCCATTGCTAGTAGGTTGGAGGCCATTGCTACTAGTGGCAAGGACGAAGGCTAGGTATTTGTTGCTCTTCAATCTGATGGATGCCCCTCCCATCGGTGCAGACCCGGTTGGGCGAACAAAGACCAGAACCGTCCAAAAACCATCAGCTACACTGTGGAAGGACACTGAAGGCTTGCTTGCTATGAAGAGTCATTCAGCATAGCTCGTTGCTTGTGGATAAGCAACACATCTGGGCAATTGCCAAAGGACTTGTGCCTTCTTTCTATCGTGGATTCGCCAACCGTTGTCAGCTTGTCACCTTTGTTGGAGCCTGCTGCTTACACTTCAATGGCAAGCTGCATGGAGACATTCTTGACCGGAGCTTAAAGTAGTCAGGCAATCGGAGGACGGCAA